CCCAACTCAGGCACAGCCCCATCTCAGTGTTGGGGACACCAGGATTCTGTGACCCGGGGCTCTCTGCACTGCCTCACTCTAAAGGTGAACATTTCAGAAAAATTTTAAACTCCAAATACAGATTTTTTTTTTTTTTAACTTTCAGGTTTACCAACTGAACTAGATCAATAACCAGTCATTGCCATCTTCCACCAGGCTTAGTGCTAAGGACGTTGCATGAATTAGCTCTTTATATCTCATGAGAGCCCAGTGAAGTAGGTAGTTTTTATTCCCATTTTAAAGCCAGAGAAACTGAGGCTCAAAAACCTCTTTGCCCAGAGTTCGAGTACCACCATCATCCCCCTCATCTTAACCTACAGCTCTCTATTGCCGGCTCCTGCACATTCTCCACCAGCACCCAGAGTATTGTTGTTATGTGCCATCGAGTCAGTTCCGACCCATAACAACCCTGTACAGGGTTTCCAAGGAGCAGCTGGTGAGCTTGAACTACCAACCTTTCTGTTCACACCGACTTTGCAGTCCAGCGCACTTACCCACAGAGCCACACCAGGAGTCCAGCATGCAGAGAAGCATTAAGAAAAAATAAACACAAACCCGTTGGAAGGGGCTGGTGATCTACTAGTGAAAAATCGGCCATTGAAACCTCTACAGAGCACAGTTCTACCCTGACACACGTGGCCACCAGGAGTCAGAGTTGACTTCAACTTGTGACTCGTAACCACCCTGGTGTAGTGCCCTATGATCAGCACTGGTTTGATAACCAAATGCTTAGTGGTTCAAACCCAGCAGCCGCTCCTCGAAAACCCTGTATTGAGTCGTTATGAGTTGAAACGGACTCCTCGACACTTAACAACGACCCTGGAATCCTGGTGTGGTGCTGTAAGATACGCACTGGACTGCTAACCATAAGGTCAGTGGTTCAAACCCACCAGCTGCACCTTGGAAACTCTACATATAAAGTCGCTATGAGTCCACTTAACAACGACCCTGGAATCCTGGTGTGGTGCTGTAAGATACGCACTGGACTGCTAACCATAAGGTCAGTGGTTCAAACCCACCAGCTGCACCTTGGAAACTCTACATATAAAGTCGCTATGAGTCGGAACCAACTCCACAGCACTTAACAGCAGCAACTGCCCCATGGTGTTTCCAAGGCTGTAATCTTTCAGGAAGCAAACTACCACAGGAGCGACTGGAAGGTTCAAACCACCAACCTTTTGGTTCGCAGCCAAGCACTTTAGCACTGCACCACCAGAGTAACCGTACTATCCTACAGACCACATTGCTCCCTTCTTAAAATGCTTTCCCTGACACCTTCCTATTAACTCACGCTTCTACTGATCAGCCTTGCTTGCTTCTCTGACCCCATCTCTACTGCTCTTCCATCCCACTCCACCTAGCCATACAGACTTCCCTCCATCCTCAAACATTCTGAACTTCCTCCCACCTCGCAGTTCCTCTCTACCTGGCATACTCCCCCCATCCCAATTGTCCCTTCCTCTTGTCACCATGTAGTCTCAGTTCAAATGTCGTTCCAATTAGAGGCTCCCCTGACCACTGTCTGAACCAGCAGGGACCTGTACCCAGCAGTTACTACTTGATAGGCTCATCATTATTTGAAAATGATCTCCATTGTTTGGCGTCCTCACTTGATGAGCTACAGTTCTCTGAGGGCAGGGAACCTTGCACTCCTAGCATTTAAAACACTGCCCAGAGCTGAGGAAGATCAAAATAAATATTTGCTAGTGAAACTGTTTGGGAACTGTCTGTGCGGGAACCCAAGACTCTTATCTACTAAAGCACCACCTTAAATGGCCAGGCAACTTCTATTCTAGATCTGTAAGACACATTCCCAATGCTTCCCCCTGATTATGTGGAGTAAGATGGGAAATAATTCTTTTTTAAAAACCACACGTTTCTGTATTTTCATTTCTGTAATATACATGGGTTACTTTTGTAATTAAAATAAAAAATGTATACAGATTCAGGTGATCCCATGCCCCCTAGCTCTAGGTTCCCTCTTGAAAGCGTGTAAGCCAGTCACTTCATGCCTTTGTATTCCACCCCTCCCCATTTGGGTATCCAATGTCCAAGTTGCCCATCTCAGTCTATTCTGTGTGTGGAGGGGGTGGGAATGTTTCATGCTCTAAGGATTTGTTCCTTCTAGGTAAACTATGCTTCATGCCTCAGATCTAGAAATGGTGTCTGCACACAACTTTCTCAGCTCACAAACTTCTCCTTTCAGCCAACAGTAGAAACATTAGCAAAGCCTCAAGCCAACTGCTTCTACACAGAACCAAACTTAAGATTTCTTTGAAAACTTCTGAAACTGCTTCTCTGGCCTAGCAAAGCGTGTATCACCTGGAACTGATTTGCTGTGATCAAGTCGATTCCAACTCAAATCACCTGGAAAATATACAGAACTGCAGGCCCCAGGGTCTCACCCAGGATCCACTGGGCTGGATTCTGTTAAAGGTGCTGCACAGGAACACTGGCTGAAGTGACATGCTAACCTTGGATCAATTTAGGCTGGGGCTGTTATATCCTCCACAGGATCACTGCCCCAGTAGTTTTTTTTACCCAACTTAGCGGTTCGAAACTACCAGCCGCTCCGCGGGAGAAAGATGAGACTTTCTACTCCCGTAAGGATTTACACCCTCGGAAACCCTGTACAGGGTCACTATGGGTCGGAACCGACTCGACGGCACTTAACAACAATTCCTCTTGTTGTTGTTGTTGTTGTTGAGTGCCATCGAGTCGGGTCCGACCCATAGCGACCCTGTACAGGGTTTCCGAGGGTGTATATCTTTACGGGAGTAGAAAGCCTCATCTTTCTCCCGCGACAGGTGGCTAAAAAAGCTGCCCCTTCTACTCTGTTCAGGTCTCATCCACAACTCTTAGGACACTTGACCTTCCTCTGGGGACCCTAAATCCCAGAGAAAGGAATTTTATCACAGTGGATGCCAATATGGCCTACCTGAGACTTCCATGCTGCTAGTCAAGCATATGAATAGTGCAAGAAAAACAAGGCCAAGAACCAATGCTCTACATAGCAGCGTCTAAGAAGCTATGGTTAGGCCTTTAGGCAAAGAAAAACTGACTCCCTAAAATAACTGGAATTCTTTTTCCTTCATAACTGGGTAATGGATATTTGTCCTTTTTGCCCTGGCTTCCAGGAAGCACAGAGGTCATTACCCCCTAGCTAGCACATTTGTTTTTAATCTTTGATACTGAGGTTTTATCTCCTACCTTCATTATGATTCAAACCCACCTTAAAAACCTTCCTGTAAAGATGAGGCATCACGAGAATGCCAATGAATAAACATTTACACAGTATTTCTTATCAGTAAACCTCGGCAAAGGCCATCTCCAGCCCAGCTCTGTCCACCAGCCCATGAACACAAATGCGCAGACTCCTCTGTATTTTACATTTGGAGTCTCTTGTGCAGCTAGGACTGAGACAGCCCAGGGGAATGACTGGCTGGGACAGTGGCAAACACACATGCAAGCTAGACCCCCCTCTTCCTGGGTCTGTTGTGGCAACTCTGAACTGAACCCACAGGTCTTCTTCTCAGGTCCATATTCTTCCCCACCAACTTGGGATCCTTGATTTATAGATTCCCCAGAAGGTTCCTTTTAATTCCCTCCAAGTAGCGTAGTGATGTGGTGCTGTGGGTTAATGAGCTGAACTGCAAAGTTTGAATCGCAAGGTCGGGTGGCTCAAGCTCACCAGTGGCTCCTGGGAAACCCTATAGAGAGTTGCTATGGGTTGGAACCGACTCATTGGCACTTAACAAAAAGTAGCATAGTGGCTACGAGTCAGGCTGCTCACCTCAAGGTCAGCAGTTCGAAACTACCAGTCATTCCAGGAGAGAAAAATGAGGCTTTCTGTAAAAAAAGATTTACAACTTCGGAAACGCTATACGGGGTCGAGTTGGAACTGACTCCATGGCACACCACCACCACCATCCTCTGAGAAGTCCTGGTGGTTAATACACTGAACTGCAAGGTTGGTCTGAACCGAAAAGTTGTCGGTTCAAACTCATCAGTCACTCCTTAGAAACCTTATACAAGGTCCCTATGAGTCAGCTCTGACTCAACAGCACTTAACAGGAATTCTTTGAGATGGGATGAAGTCTGATATGACTGTTCCAGAACCATCCCTACAGCCCCTCCTTGTCTCCCTCCATACCCAGTCCCAAATAACCAGGCCACACACTGAGTTTCAAGTATCTGTCTCTTCCTTTCACTCTCTCAAAAGAAAAAGTAAATAAATTACAGAAGGCGGCAGCATTTCCATCGTCTTCTGGTTCCCGGATCCCTGCCCCCGACCCTACCCCCCCACCCCCACCCCCCCCCCCCCCCATCGTCTTCTGGTTCCCGGATCCCTGCCCCCGACCCTACCCCCCCACCCCCACCCCCACATTCCCCACTCCCTAGACCCATCCCTCCCTTTTCCCCCCCACCAAAAAAAAAAAAAAAGAAAAAAGAAAAAAATCCCAGGAAAAAAATAAAAGCCACAGTTAGACCTTCCACTCATGCAAACCGGCAAAGAAAAAAGGTGGGGGGTATGTGGAAGGCAGGGGGCCTACAGCGAAGTCCCCCCACGTATCCCCCCAAAAACCACCTTTGAGGAAAAAAATGGAAAAAATAAATGAGAACTCAAGGGACATGGGGAGTTATGATGGGGCAGAGGGATCCCAGACTCTGCGCCTCAGGAGAGAGATGAGGCCTGCAGTCTTTGTCCCTGCAGTGGGTACTCACTGGGGGCCCCTGACTTCTGGAATATGTGTGGGAGAAGATGGGGGAGGGCAGGTGGCCCCCAGAGGGTCTGTGTGTGCGTTGGGGGCGGGTAGTTGGGGGTGTCCTGAGGAGCACAGACTCTGGACCAAGAGCCCGGCTCCCCCCAGATTCCAGGTTCTTGGGGTTTAGAAACCCAGTTCTGGGGTGCAGGGATACATGCAGAGGAGTTTTCCCCCTCCAGTGGGCTGGATCCAGTTAGAAAGGAAATAAATAAGAAGGGTGGGAGGGAGGCTGGGGGCACGAAGGGCTTGGGCAATTCAGTCCAGAGCAGGGGCCTGGGCAGCAGAGGCAGGCGAGTCCAGGCCAAGTCAAGCAGGATCAGAGTCTCTCTCGGGCTGGAACCCAGATGTAGGGGCCTGAGAGGTCCTCGATGACACGCTTCACCTTGTGGTAAATCTCCTCAAAGCTGTCACCCTCCACGATGGCTGGGAGCAGACAGACAGGTAAGGGACGTTCCAGAGGGCATCCAGCCAAGGGGGTGTTTCAGCCCAGAGAAGAGGCACTTTGCTCTGAGTTTCCCAGCCATGGACCCAGAGAACTAACTGCACCTATCTCGAGGGACATCATTTCCTAAACCACCCACCTTTTTTGAATTTGCATGAAGGAGCCACATGAGCTGGCAACAGCCCCACTGCGGCCTCACCTGAGAAGCACTCTGTGAATTCCTGCTCCAGCTTGGTGGCTCTGTCGAAGGCTTTGCGGGCTTGCTCCTCTGTGATCCTCTTGTTAATCTCTCTGTGAAGAGTGAGTGAGACACAGAGCTGAGTGGGGGGGCACCCATCCTGCCTTTACCTCCCTTCTCTAGGGAGATTAAGTTTCAAGCAATATTTTCTTATCTGAAGCCCATGGCAAAAAACACAATTCCCAACACCGTCTGGGGCCAAAGATGAGTCCCCATCCACAACCCACCCATCAGTGCAGCTATTTCAGGGACCTCTCCAAAGTCTCATCCCTCTAGCCTTATGCCACACAGAGGGCTTCAGACTCTAAATCCCAGCAGCCCAAAGTCCTGGCTACCCATCTGGTTTGAGGCCCCTGGGCTGCTGGAAGTTGTAGTCCTGCCTAGGCAAGACAGGAGAGGAGGGAAAGGCCCCGGATTCCCCGTGTCCTCTGAGTTCCAGCTCTCTGTGCAGATTCCTGTCAAGGGCTGCTGGAGGAGCCACTGTCCAAGGTTCCAAGGGGAGAGGTCAAGCAGAGGCCTTCTGAGGCCCAGGGTCAGAAGTGACAGGGAGTGGAGGGGAGGCCTCCTGGGACCATACTCACAGTACATTCTCCAGGGAGCGTGGGCGGATGAAGATGGCGATAGGGTGCAGGTGGGCCGCCTGCAGCCGCCGCACGGCATTGGCTGAGACATCAAGGATGCAGTGCTTCCCCTGGGGGCAGGCAGGGTGGGCGGAGGGGGACCAGCAGTGGAGGGAAAGGACAGACAGAGATGCCAGGACAGGACACAGTACGAAGAAAGGTGGGGAATGAGAAGTTGGCCAAAAGGGAAATGTCATGGATGTCAAGACATGTGAGCAGCAAGTCAGGGCAGGAAGGGGGTATGGACAGACAGAAAGGAAAAGGAAAGGGGAAGCCAGAGAATGAGAAAGGCCAAGCCCAGAGGGAGAGGGTTGGAGGTAGAGTGGAGGAGTGAGGAACAGGTAAGGAGGGCCCCAAAAGATGGTGGCAGCGCAGGGGTGTGAGGAGGCAGAGTGAAAGGCGCAGGAAGCATAAATGGTACAGGTGGGTAAGAGAGCCCAGGAGAAAAAGAAAGAAAGTAGGATAGAGGGTGGAGGAGGGGACGGACAAAGGACAGACAGATGGAAGAAACGAGGAGAGACAGATGGAAGGGAGGAGAGGCAGATGGAGAAAAGAGGCACCATCGGGGGAGGATGGGTAGGATGGGGAGCAGCAAGGAAAAGGTGTCAGCACAGGAGTGAGCAAGGGGAGTGCAGACCCCAGAACAAGGAGAGAGGTGGGAGGCCAAAGGGGAAAAGCAAAGTGAGGAGAAAAAAAGACGGAGCACAGAGGGGATGGTAAGCCACCCAAGCCAAGGCCACAGGAAGAGAGGAGAAATGGGGCACAGTGGGAGGACCAGGTTGAGAGAAAGGGGACAGATGGTGGTGAGAGTTTGGGGTCAGGACAAGAGGGAGGTGCAGGACACAAGGGAGCAGGCAGTCAGACAGTTGCCCCAGAGAAGAGAAGGAGGTGGTGGAATGGAGCGGAGTGGAGACCCAGTCGGGAAAGAGACAGAGAGAAAGAGAGTTAGAGAGAGCTGAGGGAGGCAATGGGGTCGGGAAAGGGGAGAGGAAGAGGACCAGGTGCCCACCACATCCTACCTGCTCTGCCACCTCTCGAACAGACTGGACGCTGGTCCCATACAGGTGGCTGTTGTACTGGCCGGCCTCGATGAACTTATGTGCCTGAATATCCTTCTCCATTTTCTCCCGGGATGACACAAAGTGGTAGTCCCGGCCATCTATCTCATACTCCCGCTTGGGCCGTGTGGTATCTGGCAGAAATCACCCACCCCCCCCAGAGATCTAACCACCATCTCTCCAGCCCAAAGCCCACCTCCATCATCCCCACAGCAGAAGGAGGGCTGATTAGGAGATGCAGATAGAGAGGGGTAGAACCACCTCGCTAAGCCTCACTGGGATTTCTGAGTCACTGGCCTAGGGACAGCTGCTGTGGACCATGAAGGTAGCTAAGAAGTACCCCTGCATCCTCCCTCAACCCAACTTCACATCATTACAGGTGGCTACAAAAGCTGCACCTTCTACTCTCCACCACCACTCTTAGGGCGCTTTATCCACAGGTGGCATGGCCTACACCCCCATGGGTGGGGTTTCTTGGCCCTCTCAACCCACACCCACTTTCCACCGCCATCCGCAGACCGAGCACTCACGGGGAACACAAGATCCAAACTTGTCAGGGAACTCGGAGAGAAGGTCGTCATTTGCACGGTCCTTGGTGGGCCCGAGGATGATGATGGGGCGCGCATAGTGCACTGAGGAAAGAGAGCCCGGCTCAGCAAAGAACAGAGTCAGGGGAACAGGAGGGGCTGTGGCCAAGGGCAAGGCCAAGGCCAGGGCTCACCTTCCATCTGCGTCACCGTCTCGTAGCTCAGAACCGAGTCTTCTCGACCTGTTGAGAGGTAAGGTGTCTATGAGAGGCTCTAACAAGGAAACCTGAGCCCCTGCCCCACCTTCCTGAGGATGTCAAGAGAAGCTCAGGGCTCCTCTCTCTGCAGGTCTTCTACCTACCCTGGGATCCAGAGCTGGAGCCCCAGTCCTAGAAAAAACAGCAGGGTCATGTGGTTAGTTGAACCTCAGTATAGTTGAGCCCCCACTCTTCCACTCAAGCTCATCCCCTCCTCACCTACCTTGGCCTTTAACCTGGACCACTCCCGTCGCTCAACCCTGTGAGATACAGATGAGAGGGGGATGTAGGGAAATGCCCAATGAGGAACTTTACTGGCCCCCACCTCTGAACTAACTGATAACCCCATCCCCCCATCAGCTCCTGCATCCCTGTAATCCCAAATGAGGAGCCATTTGCCCCAAAGGCTCATGGGAATCATGGTCAGCAGGAGGACACAGCAGACAGATCCCCTAAGAGGTCAGAGGATACATCCATCCCCCACTGGCTGCCCATCTAAGGGCGTGGGAACCAGTGCCCGGGGTAGGAAGGTGAGGGAGCCCAGGCCCTAGGAGCCTCACCGCCGTTTGCTGGGAATAAAGCCAATGTCGTCTGTCTCACTGTCAGAGTGGACACGTCGCGCCTGCCACCACTCCTCATCACTAGCATCAATCACATGCAGCACATCCCCAAAGTGGAAGCTCAGGGCTTGGCTCAGGAAGCCGCAGTCCTTGGTCTTGTCATAATCGAACAGGGCCCTGGAGAGAAGAGGCCATCAGTCAAAACCTGGAGGAGGCTGTCGAGTATGTGAAGGATGGGGCACAGGACACTGACCAGGGGGCCTGGATGCTCTGAGAGGCCAGCCCTGAGATTCTGCCATGGGCACCAGAGAGTCTGAGACACCCTGAAACTATGTGTAGGGACAAAAGTCTACTGTAACAGATTGTCATCACAACCAACGACCATCATTCCATCCACATGGTATAAGGGACGGAACAGACTATGGATTCTGTGCAACTTATAGTGAGAACTAGAGCCCCATCCTCTCAGGAAAGTAATTGGCAATGTATCTGTTGTTAAGTGCCGTTGTGTTGGTTCTGACTCATAGTGACCCTATATAGGGCCTCCAAGGAGGGGCTGATCCACCGACCTTGTGGTCAACACTCCATTTCTTATCCTACAGTGCCACACTGGACTCCCTGGCAATATATCTATATATTACAAAGCCACAAAGATAACCTTGAGCCTGCTCAGATATAAAAAACAACAACAACAAAAGAGCTAACAATTGCCAAATCTCAGTTACTCTTATCAATAAAAATTCCATCAATAAATTGCAACCACTGGGATCAGGACAAAAGGAGGAATAATCACAGAGGTAGCAAACGTTCAAAAGTTCTAGCAACAGGAATATAAAGCGCAGAGACTCCAGGATCATTTGGAATCACTGTGTGGGGGACAGGGGTGTGGGACATCAGAACTGAACAACACCTCGGGGAGCCTCTGGGTCCCAGTAGGGAGGGAGGGCTAAGTCAGGACTGACTCTGGTTTGAGCAAGTGTCTGGGCAGATGGTGGTATCATTCAGTAAGGGAGAAAACACAGACCAGACAAACCAGAGACCACCACACACAGGAAAAAGACAATGAGATCAGTGTAGTACGTGTTGAATGTGAGATGCCTGTGGAGGCATCCCAGGAAGCAGATGGTCAGAGTGCAGACCTGGGCCACTGGGAAGAGCCAGGCCAGAGCTGACAGCTGAGGGGGACATCTGCAAAGCGGGGCGGCAGTGCATTAGCTGTGAGTGAACAGGATCACAGAGGAGGGAAGAGAGAGGTGATGGCAAAATGGAAAACAAGAACCTACACCTGGAAGAGGATGTCAGTGGGCAGAAGGAAGCAAAATGCCACTGAAGAGACAGGAGACAAACATAAAAGAGTGGCTGTCTATATTCCCAAGCCAGCCAATGGAATGCAAAGACAGGGTAACAAAGCAAAAGTTAACCGGCACCAGGAGTCCTGCTGGGGCGCTGTGGGTTAATGCGCCAGACTGCAAAGCTGTTGGAACTGCAAGGTTGGCAGTTCAAGCTCACCAGCTGATCCTTGGAAACCCTATACAGGGTCACTATGGGTTGGAACCAACTCAACAGCACTTAACAACAACAGGGTCTTGGGAGCCCCTGATCGGTTGGACATTAACCTTTTAGTTGCCCAAACTGTGGGGCAGTCACTGGTCCTTGGAGAAGGGCTGGAATGACCAGGGGCTGGAGGACAGTCAGAGTATTTGAAGCAGAGGCTATTTTCTGATCGATAGAGTGTTACAAAATGTTAACCTGTGCAGCTGTGCCCACACTCAAGGCTGAGCATCAGGCCTGTGGGGAGGTGTAGCCAGGCAGGGCTTTGGGGAGAAGTTGGAATCATGGGGGCCTGAGGAGCCCAGAAGTTTCTGACCTGATATAGAAACCCCTTTTGGGGTTGCTCCGCAGGGAGGCTGTCCCTGAGCCTAGACTGCTATTCATGAGTTGTTCCCGAAGGTCGTGGATCTTGGCTTCGAAGCGGCTGTACTCTGAGGAGAAGAAAGCTACTGAGCTGATGCAGCTGCTCCAACAGAGGAGTTAGCATTCTAAGGGTCATCTTAGCTCACAAGAAAGGGTGCTTCAGGCCTGGTACCTTCTGGCTTATACTGAGCAATGATGGTGACCGCCTGACCTGCATTCTTCAAGGCAATGGCAGCCTGCTCATGGCTGGCACTGCGGAGGTCAACACCATTCACCTAGAAAGAAGGGGAGCAGCTGAGACGCTGGAGCCAGGACCAAGTGGAAGCAGTAGTCCAGCTGGGCTTCAGCCCATCCCAGGCCCTCCCTGAGAGCTCTGGGCTCCACCCATGGAGGCCGGGAACAGGTCTCCCTCACCGAGAGGATCTGGTCCCCCTTCCGTAGCTCCCCACTGAGGTCGGCAGGGCCCCCAGCCAGGATAAAGGAGATGAAGATGCCTTCGCCGTCCTCGCCACCCACAATGTTGAATCCCAGGCCCGTGGAGCCCCGGTGGATCACAATCCGCCTTGGTTCTCGGGGAATGTCCTCCTCCCCTAGCAGGTCCTTGGCCACTGGGGAGTAGCGCCGAGGGGAAGTGGGGGTCATGGCTGTGGGGTAGTCGGTGCCCAGGTAGCTGCTGTGACTGATCTCATTGTCCAGGTGCTGGGAATACGCTGAGGGAAGATGTGGGAGAAAGGATGAGATGGCAATACATAAATGAGGAGGACCCACCACCTCATCTGCTCTCCAGGTAACCAGACTCAGGTTATGGTAAGTAAGGGGTAGGAAAGGGGACATGAAGACCACAGAAAAGTCATGGGTCAGGAAACCATAGGTAATTATCAGAGGCCAGTTCTCTGGAGAGTTACGTGTCTGATATGCCAGGAATGGGGACATCAAAGGGAGATATTAATACTATGCTTTCTAGATTTTCTTTCGGTTGCTGTGTCTCTTGGGTTCCTAAAATCCTTTTTTCTCTCCTTGGCCATTCATTTGCTGAAAATGCCAGGTCATTTGTCAATTAGAGAAACTCTTCATAGGGAAATTACTGAATGCATCTAAGTGGAGCTGTTTAACATGTTCACGGCTCCTGTGAATATTTTCTGTAAATTGCTAGTTTATTCTAGACGTTTCCTCAGATTCAAATTTAATTATTTTGGCATTGAATACTTGATAGGTAGAACTCTGTAATGTATTTTCCCCATATAATGCATCCACATAAATACCACAAACATAGCATAGTGTGCACAGGAAACTAACACATAAGTTTGCAAAAACTGTGTTGCTCAAGCGTTATTGGTGTACAAATATGGTGCTCCTATGACATCACAATAGGATGCAATCCTATCTGGTTGTCTTTTGGTTATGTTAAGATATAGTATGTTGGGGGTTGTTAGCCTGACTCATTCATTATGATGTACCCCATCAGCCTTTCATCTGACAGGTTTAGCAGCCACTAATGATCACTGCCAAGGAGCTCTGGCAGCGTAGTGGTTACAAATCGGGCTGCAAACTGCAAGGTCAGCAGTTCGAAACTACCAGCTGTTCCACTGGAGAAAGATAAGGCTTTCTGCTCCTGTAAAGATTTACAGCCTTGGAAACCCTGTACAGGGTCACTATGAGTCGGAACTGACTCCATGGCACATTACAACAATAACAACAATGATCACTGTGCTCATATTTCATTTAAAAAATTTAAAAAGCAAACCAATTGTCATTGAGTCAATTCCAACTCAGGATGACCCATGGTTTCCGAGTAAAAATGTACTCTGCAGGGCTTCTGTAGCAGTGAATTTCTGTGAGCAGATCGCCAGGCACCTCTAGGTGGTTTTGAACGAAAAACCTTCTGATTAAGTAGCCAAATGCTTACTTAACTGGTGATATTCTATTCTTTTTTTTTGGCGGGGGAGGGGGAGTAGCATTTGGTCACTCTAAGGTACAATTTGAACAGGGAAAGAGTAATAAATACTTGACTGTTTCCCTTTACTTGCCAATTTTCCCCAAAGATACCAAATTATTTTTTGGTATCATTATGACCTCATGCATTTTAACATATTTAATGAGTTTTAATCAAATACAGTTAACATTCTCTTTAAACTCTAGTTATTCCATTCTGGTCAGTTAGAACTTTTTCAATTTGGCTCCTGTGTCTTTGACACGATCATAGCAATCTTGGACAACTTGCTTCCTTTCTAAAACGACAAGATGTTACAAAGCGCTCATACAATTCTTGGTCCAGATCTGAAAATGGCTCCTTCACCAAGGAGTCAAGGTTCCATGTGGTATGTTATGATATTTAGAAATCGCTACATGTAATCCTAGTGTGGCGCTGTGGGCTAAAGCACTGGACCACCAGGTCAGTTTGAGCCACAAGGTCGGCAGTTCAAACCCACCAGCCACTCCTTGAAAACCCTGTACAAGGTCGCTATAAGTCAGGACTGACTCAACGGCACTTAACAACACATACTTTTAACTATGGTTTGACACTATACTTTAGGGGCAGTCACACTTCACTATTCTTTTCCAAAAATGTCTTAGCTGTTCTCCAAAATGTATTTCTCTAACTGAACTTTAAAATAACCTGCCATGTTTCCTGGGGAGGAAAACATTAAAATTCTGATTGCAGTGGTTAAGTCTGTTCCTATTCATAGCAAACCTGTGTAGGGTTTCTGAGGCTGTAAATCTTACTCCCATGAAGCAGCTGGTGGGATTGAACTGCCAACCTTGTGGTTTGAAGTCCAGTGATTATCCCACAGAGACACTTTGCTCCCAAAATTTGATTAGGATTGCACAAAATATATGGATTTGGAGATGGTTGAGCTCTTTAGCATATTAAGTTTTTCCAGAAACATGCTATGACTCCTCATTTTTTCCAGTTTGTCTTTTTTACATCCTTCAGTAAAGTGTCATCATTTTCTTCATACAAACCTCACAAAGTTTTTATTTCTAAAGATTTTATAGAATTTTTTTTCTAGGGTGAATGGGATCATTTTTCCCGTTACATTTTCTTATTGCTGCTTGTTACTGTTGTGCCATCGAGTTCATTCCGACCCATAGCGACCCTGTATAGGGTTTCCAAGGAGCAGCTGGTGAGCTTGAACCGCCGACCTTGCAGTTCAAACAACTTTGCAGTCTGACGCATTAGCCCACAGCGCCGCACCAGGACAAGAGCTACTAATTCTGGTTGCTTGTCTTTCGTATGTTCACAAGTTTAACCTCTCACAGTATTTGTGACATTTACTTGAATCTTAATCTAGATGGATAATGATGTGAATTACAAATATGAAAATTTTTATTTATCCTTTTTCAAATACATTATTGTTAAGTGCTGTTGAGTCGGTTCCCACTCACAGTAACCTTCCATGGAGTTTCTGAGATTTTAAATCTTTATGGGAGCAGACAGCCTGATCTTTCTCCCTCAGAGTGGCTGACAGGCTCACACCATGGACTTTGTGCTTAACATGTGGAGCCACTGCACTCCTTTTTCAAATATAACATGTATTTATTCTGCTTGTCTTGCTGTACCGCCTGAAGTCTCTAATGCAGTAGTTCTCAACCCGGAGTGATTTTGCACTCCATGAGACATTTAAACAATGTCTAAAGATACTTTTGACCTGTTAGGACTTGATGTAGGAGAGAGGGAATTATCATTGTCTTCTGGGGAACAGATGCACAGGACAGTCCCCACAACAAAGTATTAAAAACCAGATGTCACTGAGTTGATTCTGGCTCACGACACGCATGGCAACCTACCCCATGTGTGTTAGTGCAGGAATGTGCTCCACAGAGTTTTCAATGGCTGGTGTGGCACTGTGGGATAAAGCGCTGGACTGTAAGGTCGGTTTGAATCACAAAATCAGTGGTTCAAACTCACCAGCCGCTCCTTAGAAACTCTATACGGGGTCGCTATGAGTCAGGATCGACTCATCAGCACTTAACAACAACAAATTCATATGCAAAATCAATCTATATTTGTCTTATTTTATGTTATCTTTTCAACATTTGAACTGGCCTTCTCAGAAAAAATGTGAAAATATTTTTCTTTCTCTATGTTCTAAAAGAAGGAGCTCTGGTAGCGTAGTGGTTACAAATCGGGCTGCAAACCGCAAGGTCAGCAGTTCGAAACTACCAACCAGTCCGTGGGAGAAAGATGAGGCTTTCTGCTTCTGTAAAGATTTACAGCCTCGGAAACCCTGTACAGGGTTGCTATGAGTCGGAACCGACTCCACGGTTGTTGTTGTTGTTAAGTGCCATCGAGTCGGTTCCGACCCATACCGACCCTGTACAAGGTTTCTGAGGGTGTAAATCTTTACGGGAGTAGAAACCCTCATATTTTTCCCGCTTTCCTGGAGGGGATGGTTAAAATTAACCATGAAATCATCCGGGCCTTGCACATTCTGGGGAACAGATTGTTGATAATCTTTCTTAGTTCTTCTATGGTGACTGATTTTCCAACTTTAATCTGTAGATGTTACATGGGGACTACCTGACAAGGAAGTCACAGGTGCTGTGATGGGATGGGATGCCATGGGATGACTGGGATGGGACATGGGAAAGTTCTAGGGTTTGGAGGGTTCTCACAGGTTGTGATGTCTGGGGGAGCGTAGCTGTCACTCAGGTAGGCATTGCTGGGCTTGGCCACTTTTAGGTAGACAACATCGTATGTGTTTTTCAGGGCTGCCACGGCATCCTCATGCATGACGTCCTCCAGCCCCACACTGTTAACCTGAAGTCAAGGGAAACAGAGTTGAGACACAGCCAGAAAAGGCCATAAGGCAGAGAAACCAAGGACAAGGTGATAAGGAAGCCTGAGCCTGCCCAGGGTCTGCTGGTGAGACTCAGATCTGAACTAGACAAGTGTTTGGAGGTCCTCACCGCCAGGATCTTGTCCCCAATCTGCAACCTCCCGTCCTTGTGGGCAGCGCCCCCTTCGATGATCTTCGTTACATAGATGCTATTATCTCCAGGGATGTGCTGGTTCCCTACACCCCCTGCAATGCTGAAGCCAAGACCTAGATGGAGGAGAAGGCAGAGGTGGGTGCCAGATAATGTAGAAGTAAGCCTGGGACAGAGAAGAGTTAAGACATGGGTGAGAACCAAATGCATTTCTACCTTTAGGCCCCTTGATGAGCTTGATCTCCATGATCTTCTCAGCCGGGGGCTTCCGGCGCATGACATAAAGGCGAACGATGGAACCTGCCTCTTTGAGGGCCTCCACTGCTGCTGAGTGGGTCACCTCCCGCACATCCACTTCATTTACAAACAGGATGCTGTCATTGACCCTGGGGGCAGCAAGGAGGGCCTGAGCCGAGAGGGTCCTGCTGCCCTGGCCCTCCCTTTCACGGGAACTGGCCCCTCCACCCCTATCTCTTCTCCCCACCTGAGGCGGCCATCCTGGGCTGCAGCCCCGCCAGGAATGATCTTGGTGATAAAAATGGATGGGTCATCACCGATGTGGGGGTTGTCAGTGCCACCTGCGATGCTGAAGCCCAGACCTGAGTTACCCTGAGAAAAAGGAGGGGAAGAGAGTCAGTTCTTCTTACTGCCTACTCACTTCTGGCAAGGTGAGTGGAGACGGAGAAAGGCTGGGGATGTGGGGTCAGATCAGTAAAGACCAGGGGAGGGGTGCGTCACCTAAAAAACACAGGCACAGAGAGAAGCCCAGATGAGGAGACAAAGAGACTTGGATGGAATAGCCTGCTTACCCTTTCCAATGTGATCTCCTCGTATTCCATCTCCCCCTCGGTCCCGTTCACCTGCAACTCCAGCGCGGGCCAGAAACACAAACACAGTGAGACAGACATTCCTCTTGTCAAGTTGCCCTGACCCTGCTGCTGGGACCAGGCCCTCCCTCTCTCCCTACTTCCTCTGCAATGGCCCCATACCCAAAATGTAAACAACTCACATATCCAGGGGCTTCTAGGGTGTCTGTGTTGACAATCACAGGGGGAGAATTGGCCTGTGGGAGAACAAGGACAAGACATGCTACCTGAGGCTTGGCTTGAAGGGTAACCCATAACCAAGGGTCCCAACAGCCTGGGTCCTCATTAGCCTCTTAGCCAAGCCTTTTCTAGCCCCATTAGAGCTCCTCAACCGTCTTCCACGCACACGCAGATCTGCACACGTGCATGGATCCAGCGCAGCCCAGGTGGATGAAAGCAGGAAGAGAGAGACAGCCAGACGGTGAGGGGAGCAGCAGATGGTAATGAGTAGGGGGGAGGGGGTGCTCAGGGGAAGGGGAAAGGAGCTCATCACCGGATGTAACGCCATAGGGTGCTATATTCCTGATGTGCTAGACACATATACCCCAGGGCCCATGTCCACAGGGTCCTGCCCCCTTCTTGTCCCCACCTCTGTCCCTATCTCCACACCTACACACAGATATCTTAATAACCCTCTCCCAGATTTGGCCCTCACCTTCACACGCATTTGCCCTAAATCCTGGGACCCAGTAATTTGGGGTTTCCCCAGTTGCAGTCCCCTCCTTTCCTCTCACCCACCAGCCATCCTATCTACCCCTTTCTCCAAGGATCCTGTTGCCTAGCAACGGTATCTAAGCCCAGTCAAGGCCTGGGGAGACCCACCTCCGGAGACCCACCTCCTAGCGGCTCTGTCGTCAGGACAACAGGCGGGGAGTGGGGCGTGGCCTAGGGGCGATCAGAGTCCCGAAGGCATAAGATATCCACTAGCCCCGCCTCTTCTCCCCTGGGCTCCGCCCCCTCCCCCGTAGCTTGGAGAAGAACAGTCCCCCGCCGAAGAGGTTTGTATGTGGGCTCAACGCATTCTGAATAACCTGCCCCTCCATACCTCCCTCCTCCACGCCCCTCACCCTACGAAAAGCAAAGGACGTCAGGAAACGGGGAGTGGTGAAAGACATCCGGGTTCCAGCCTCTTTATCCTCCTTCCACCACACCATTCAAAAGAGGGTTAAAGTGGGGCGTGCCCAAGTCCCTGACGTCAGTCCCCTCTATGCAGCTGTAGATTCCGGGGCGGGGCCAACTTCGGGCTGGTCCAAGGGGCTTCCCCAATTGGCAGGGTAACCGAAGACATATCTCTATGGCAATGGAGGGAGGTCGCCTGGAATCGCCTTTTTGGGTCCCCAACTTATTTCCTCCTGAAGCAAATATTTACTAGGAGCCTATCAAGCCTGAGACACTCATCACAGATTCCCTAATCTCCCTCCCTCTCACCCTCTAAAAGGGTCCCTCTTCTTGCCTACAAACCACCAACTGTCAGTTTAACAGATTCCATACTCAAGTATCTGTCGACACCATTCTCTTACCCTTTAAATCTCAACAAATGCTGAGACCAACCAATACCCACTGACTCCAAAATCTCATCTGTATGTCCGTCCTCCGTCCCATACCCCATCTTCAGCCTCCATCCCCAGACTTCGTCAGTAACTACCTACTTCCACCCTACACTCTCCATCTCCATCCCTGTCCTAAACCCTGTTCCCACTCTCCAATTTCCACCTGCATTCTGCCCCAATGACCATCTCATCCTCCATCCCCTTCCCGGTCCCGATTCCATTCTACTCCCAGTCCTTATCAATCTCCTGCCCTCATCTTCTAACCCAGTCTCTGATTCCCAGAGAGATTAATACCATTCTCCATTATGCCATTTTAGAGCGCCAAGATTCCATCCCAAGTCACAATTCTTCACTTCTCAACCCACTCTCCATCTCCTCTGAAAATCAGAGCTTCTCCTGTGCCCCAGCTAAAGCCCTACCCTGAGTCTTCCCTGCCACATTTCAGACCTCCAGTCTCTACCTCTACTTGCCTCAGCTCCCTCCATAGCATGGACTAACCAGCATCCCCTCAAGCCTCCCTTCTCCCATCTTCCTTCTCTCAGGGGATGTAATGGCCTCACCTTGCAAAAAGCACCTCTAGTCTTCCTTCCTTCACTCCCTGCAGCCCTCCTGTGGGTTCTCACAGGAATACTCCACCCCATGGGCCCTGCTTTCAGATCCCAGTCTTACTCCTGTCTGTCCCCTGCCACAGGACCTCATACCCTTCTGTTGTCTCCCTATTTTTCTAAATGCCCAATAATGTTCTGTCCACCCCCCATTTCCTCTCCTGCCACCTCCTTCTCATGCCAAGACCTTCGGCTGCATCCCTGCCTCCTTCATCCATCAGCTCAGAAACCTCCCCATCTTCTTGGTGAAATGTCAACAAAATCCCCCTTCCCAGGGGGCCCTTCAATATCCAGAGATCCCCCATCCCACCCTACAATGCTCTTTTCGATCTCACAGCCTGTCTGGTGCTCCCCCAGTCTGCCCATCCTGGACCCCAAAGTAGGGAAACTGAAGGGGAAAGAAAACAGAAAGAATTGAGAATGGAAGGTCTCAGAAACAAGACTAGGATAGGCTGGAGGTGGGAAACAGCAAAGAGAAGGAGAAGTGGAAACAAGTTGTGGTGATAATGGGGAGAAAAGGGGCATGGGAAAAAGTCAGGGTGTAGAGGAGGAAGAAAGGAGAGAAGATAAAGATGAGTAGAAACGGGATAACCGGGAGACGACCAGCGGCTGCAGAGGACTGAGCTGGGGATCAGGAGAAGGAGAGGGAGAATGCGTGGGAGGAAGAGAGAGACAGCATCAAGAACCAGCCAGCCAGTGGGGAGGGAGCAGCCACAGAGAGGAGGAGGGAGCAGTAGAGGAAGCAAAGGCTTGGGCAGTGGACGGAGGCAGAAAGGCCCAAGGACTCAAAAGTCTCAGACGAAACAGATGGAAAAGGCTAGAGACGCTGGGACAGGGAGAGCCAGGCCCAGAGGGATGGGGGGAGGAGGCGGGTATGGAACAAGAGCAAATGAGGCAGCAGGCGCTCTGAACAGTTCTGGAAACGGAACCGGGGGTGTAAAGGAATGAAGAGGTCCAGGTGTGGGAGGTATCCTGGGAGTACACACATCTCAACACACCAACAACAAATTTGGGGCTAACACCCCCTCCCAGTTGCCTGGCCTCTGTTTCTTCTCTGTGGGACCAAACTGTACCACAAGTGCCCCCTTCCCCAGACCCCAGGAACTCAAGACCCAGACAACACCCCCTCAATCCCAGCATTCCTCCCCATGGCTCTCGCAGTACCGGCCCTTAGGGGTTGTCGCAGCTCCGAGGTTCCGAGGGCCACACTGGGGAGTGGGCCGCCAGGGTCTCCTACCTTGAGGGGGGAGAGGTGGGCGTGGCCCACGACCCCATGGACGGCCTCGAGATGGGACAAGTTCCTCTCCAACACGTGCACCAGCTCGGGGGCGTTTACCTGGTTGGGGAGGTGGGCCGGGCTGTGCTCCAGAGGGGGCGTGTCTTCATCTTGGTAGCGGTATTTCTGGGGATGGGGACGGCGGTGTCATTGGGGCCGGTCCAGTGCCTCAGGCTCTAGGCAGCCCGCCCGCCCAGGCCGCCTCCATTACCTCCAGCCAGTGCAGTGCGGAAGGCCCTGGGGCCAGACCAGCTCCTCCCCCTCCCTCTCCTCCAGCCCATTGGCTCCCCTCTCTCCACCCTCCCACCAGCCCCCTCGCTGCCAGGGCCTCGGCACCTCTCATCTCTCCCCAAATCCCAGACCCAACCCCCAACTTCTTACATCCAGGCCCTCCAGTCTGAAACTCTCTCCTCATGGTTGGTTTCGCGACCCCTTTCCTAAGCCTTGATCTTCAAGTCCAGTCAGACCTCCAGCACTCCCATTCTCTAGGTCCCATCTCCAATTTCTCAGCTTCCCTCAACATCTTAATCCCACTTCCCCTTCCTAATTTCCATTTCTCAGTCTCCATCTCCCAAACTCCAATAGCGGCTCCTGTTCTGCATTCCACCCCACCCCCACCCTCACTGCCTCAACCTTCCCATTCAGCTTCTGCCCAGGAGCCCCAGTTTCTCCAGTACCTAGCAAGTTCTAGAAGGAACTTGACCTCTGTCCCGCAGGGAGGACAAGGCTAGGCCTAAGGAGCTCTTCCACTACTGGTCTCCACCCCCTAAAATAGCCTACAGCCCAGCAAGGGGTTGGGGAGGAACAAAAGCAATTGGACTGAGGATGGGGGCTGGAATGGGTGCCAGGTTCCCTGATTGAGACCTGGGGTAAAGTGCTGAGCTCAGGGTGAACTTCCAGGTCTTTCTTAGCCTTAGGGAAGAAAGATCCAGCCATGGCCCCTAACTAGCAACTAACCACCAGCTATTTCATGGGTCCTAGTGGAGTCCTGGGAGTCCTGGTGTGGCGCTGTGGGTTAATGCGCCAGACTCCAAAGCCCTTTGAACTGCAAGATCGGCGGTTCAAGCTCACCAACTGCTCCTCGGAAACCCTATACAGGGTCGCTATGGGTCGGAACCGACTCGACGGCACTTCACCACCACAACAAGCGGAGTCCTGGTGTGGCGCTGTGGGTTAATGCGCCAGACCGCAAAGCCGTTTGAACTGCAAGGTCGGCGGTTCAAGCACACCAGCTGCTCCTATAGGGTAGGAAACCCTATACAGGGTCACTATGGGTCGGAATCCACTCGTTGGCATTTAACAACAAGTGCTAACTTGATAGATTAACTGGGGGGAAAAAGGCAGATACAAACAGCATTGAGGGGAGGCAGCTTTGCCTGGGTTCTTCATATGGGCCTCTGCACTTTGGCTGCTCCCCTCCTCAGGAGTGGGCTGTTCAAACTCCTGTTTAGCAAAGGGGTAAGAGGATACCACAAGGAGCTCTGGTAGCGTAGTGGTTACGAATCGGGCTGCGAACCTTAAGGTCAGCAGTTCGAAACTACCAGCTGCTCCGCGGGAGAAAGATGAGGCTTTCTACTCCCGTAAAGATTTACACCCTCGGAAACCCTGTACAGGGTCGCTATGGGTCGGAACCGACTCGACGGCACTTAACAACAACAACAACAAGAGGATACCACATATAGGACTCCCTCAGGGACTGGAAGACAGCACATATACATAAAAAGAGAAGATAGAATTTCTGTCCCATAGAGTACCCAGCACTTGGAGGTCAACAGTTACAGATCAAACCAGAGTAAGCTTATCAAAGTCAATGCCAGATTCTAGAAGATGGTTCTGAAAATGGTGAGGATGATGAAGCAAAGGTGAGAAAGTTACCCAATTCTGGCTGTAGTTTAAAGGTGCAGTAAGAGAATGGGAAAAGGAAAATGGTCCTGGCCACATAAAAACTCCCAAACCAATGACAGAGAGACAACTAGAACCAAGAAGCACCTTGGCTGAGGAGCCTTAAAGAAGGAAAACAGGGGTTCACAAAATAGTCTTTGTGCAACAGAATTGGAAGGAGATGCCTGAACTTCAAGTTTTGACGCCGTAGGTACAAAAAATAGAAATACAAGAAGAGAAAATAGGAATATGATGGTGGGGGGCGGGGTGGTATGCGCTAGTCAGTTCCAACTCACAGTGACCCTGCATAGGGTTTCCGAGGCTGTAAATCTTTAGGGGAGCAGTAAGCCTCATCTTTCTCTCATGGAACAGCTGGTAGTTTTGAACTACTGACCTTGAGGTTAGCAGCCTGACTTATAACCACTACACTGCCAGAGCTCCTTAGGTGGAATGTTGTTGTTGTTATTAAGTGCCGTCGAGTCGGTGCTGACCCGTAGTGACCCCGTATAGGCTTTCCAAGGAGCAGCTGGTGAGCTTGAACCACCGACCCTGTGGTTCAAATGACTTTGCAGTCTGGAGCATTAACCCACAGTGCCATACCAGGGGGAATGTAGGCAAATGTTATTACTGTTAGCTGCCATCCAGTTGGTTCCTGACACATGGTAACCCCCAACTTAAGGAGACCCTATGCACAAGAGGGTGAGGCTGTTGCGACCACTGTTATTATTGTTAGGTGCCATTGAGTCAGTTCCAACTCAGATCATTCCTTCGTAGAGCAGAATAAAATGCTGCCTAGTCCTGGACCATCCTCACAATCTTTGCTAGAGTTCATTGAACTCATTGTTACAGACATTGTGTCAGTCAACCTCATTCAAAGTCTCTCTCTTGTTCTCTTGATCCCCTATTTTACCAAGCATGATGGCCTTCTCCAGGAACTGATCCCTCCTGATAGTATGTCCAAAGTACATAAGATGAAGTCTCTTCATCTTTCATAGGAGCGTCCTGGCTGTACTTCTTCCAAGACAGATTTGTTTGTTCTTCTGTGCCCCTCCACACCACCACCACACACATGCACACACTGCCTACATAGGATTTCTGAAGCTGTACATCTTTACAGCCACAGACTCATCTTTCTCCCACAGAGCGGCTAGTGGATTTGAACTGCCAACCTTGCTATTAGCAATACAGTGTTTATCCTACAGGGCCACCAGAGCTCCTGTTATTCTGGCAGTGCATGATTTATTCAATATGCTTCACCAACACCATCATTCAAAGGAATCAATTCTTCTTTGGCCTTCCTTATTCATTGCCCAGCTTTCAAATGCATATGAGGCAATTGAAAATATCATAGCTGAGTCAGACACGCCTAAGTCCTCAAAGTTACATCTTTGCTTTTGATCACTTTAAAGAGGTCTTTCTCAACAGTGCAATATGTCATTTCATTTCTTGATGCTGCTTCCATGGACATTAATTGTGGATCCAAGTAAAATTAAATCCTTGACAACTTCAATATTCTCTCCATTTATCATGTTACTCATTGGTTCAGTTGTTAGGATTTGTGTCTTTATGTTGAGGCACAATCCATATGGAAGGTCATAGTCTTTAATCTTCATTAATAAGGACTTCAGCAAGCAAGGTTGTGTCAGATGCATATCATACGTACGTTGTTAATGAGTTTCCCTCCAATCCTGATGCTGCATTCTTCTTCATAAATCCAGCTTCTCAGATTATTTGCTTAACATGCAAGTTGAATAAGTATGGTGAAAGCATACAACTCAAAAGTACACCTTTTGCAAACCACAAGGTCCGCAGTTCCAAACTACCATCTGTTCCGCGGGAGAAAGATGAGGCTGTCTGCTTCCGTAAAGGTTTACAGCCTCGGAAACCCTATACAGGGTCACTATGAGTTGGAACCGACTCCACGGCACATAACCACAACAACAATATCCCCTTATTCTGTTCAAACAACTGCCTCTTGGTCTATGAACAGGTTCCATGTGAACACAATTTAGTGTTTTGGAATGCCTATTCCTCAAAATGTTATCCAAAATTTGTTATGATCCATAAAATCTAATGTTTCATAGCCAATAAAACACAGGTAAACATCAATAACCTTTCTCAAAGTCTATGCTGTCTTAGATAATAGAGTCCTATGAACTGAAGAGGCCTTTCATTCCATACCCTGGCAAGGAGGTCTTCAGTCTGAACAGAGCACAGCTGAGGGGCAGTGCCCCAAAGCTGGGGGTCAGAGGAGTGGGGAGGAAGCATTAGAAACCCAATGCTGTTGAGTCAATTCGAACTCATGGCAACCCCATTTGTTACAAAGTAGAACTGCTCCACAGGGTGTTCTTGCTCCATAGGTCATCTTTACAGTTGCAGTTCACCAGGCCTTTCTTCTGTGGAGTTGCTGGGTGGGTTCGAACTGCCAACCTTTAGGTTAGCAGCCAATAGCAAACTATATGCACCACCCAGGGACTTTTCTCATGTCACTACAGTGATACCCTGCGTGTTATATGAAGCAAAGCTAATAGCATTTTAAGCCTGGAGAAGGCTTTGAGCTCAACCTTCCTCCATCTTCAACCCACCTCAGAGAGAAAATTCCTGAATCTGAAGAAATGATAAGTTGCACCTAAAGAAAATTGAAGGGTGAAGAAAGATACTTCATCATTCATTCCAGAGAGGAAATGAAGGTAAACGTTTATGGGTGATACCTCAAACACCTCTTACCCCATTTCCATGGGGGAGGAGGGTAGTCTGGAACTGATAAAAAGGCTTTAGGAACTGGGAGTCAATGTGAAGGGAATGAGAAACTAAAAAAAAAGGACACCAATGATTCCAGAATGTGTCTGGAGAAGGTTAGGGAAGGCCTGCGTTCAGTGCATGGAAATTTTCAATGTACATGTAGTAAGAAAAAAAAAAAAGAAATGTCTGGAAGTGGGGGTAGGGCAGAGTAATTCTGAAACTGCAAACTTGGGGGTGGGGGCAGTTCGGTTCAACACCTCAGTCCTGAATTACAGGATAACTAAAGCACAGCAGACAGGAAAGGAGGACCCTCCCCTTTTCTACCCCATTGGGACTCAGCGCCCCCTGACCGGAGGCAGCTCAGATGCGGTTGGGTCCAAGTCTGCACCCCCAATATAATAGGTATAAAATCAGCAAAAGACCTGGGGGATACAGTCGCTGTTGTTTCTTCCCCCTTGACCCCATCCTCACAGAAACCCCAGTTGCACAAAATGACTTGGAAC